TTATTATTAATACATGGTGAGAATTATATAGCCATGATGTTAAATCCACATCGATATTTTTTAGAGTGTAGATACTTCAGCAAAATTGTTCTTTTCATGTGTGTGTGTAATAAAAATAATGCCATTGATTTCTGTAATACAATTATGTTATAGAATATTTTTTATAAATTATAGGGGAGAGTTGCCAAATGCGTACTGGTTGCCTAAATCGTACCTTATCAATATTTTATATTATTAGTTAATATAGACAATATTTAGTAACAATAATATAAAATATATGAGAAATGAGTAATATAGACAAAAATATAATAGCCTACATCTTGTTTTACGAATGTTAGCGGCGTTTTAAAAAATCAGATATATCTGATATTAATTTTTAATCAACTTATGTAGCTGATAACAACGCGATCATCCAATTTTATTATAAATTTTTGTATTTTTATAAAAGAAGATTTATTGTAGAATATTTTACATTCACTGTATATACATATTTGCAACCATTGTAAAGATTAAATCGATATTTTTACAAAATTCGTCAAGTTTTCTAAATCGTACCATCAAAAGATAAGGCTGATAACTGACAATAATAAAACTAATAATTGATATCAATATAAATATCAAATACAAAAATAAATATAAGCAAATTTATTTTTGTGTCATTTGTTTTTTTTATTATTGTTATTTATAATAATTGTAAAATATTTAATTTTCTTCAATAAATTATTAAAATTAGGTATTAATTAATTATTAGGTATTAGTTAATGATTTTTTTATTAATCTTATATTTTTAATTGTTTTCATTCATAAATTCAATACTTTCAAAGGAAATGCGATAAAAAATACCTATAGGTACGATTTAAGCGACCGGTTGCCTAAATCGTACCTTTTGCAGCATGTTACAAAAAGATTTATAACAAATTAATTTGTTATTGATGGAAAGTTAAACGTGTAATAATAAGCGTCCAAAACCTCAAGCTACAATTTCTAATGTTTATTTGCATATAAAACAGTGCTAAATGGAAAATATAATAAAAAATAGGTTAAGTGGTACGCATTCGGCAACTTTCCCCTAATTGATCCTGTAGAAAAAACTTGTTAAACACGTTAAAAGCTGCAATTAACTATTATATACCTACATCTGTGCGTTCCTTACATTAATTTCATTATTTTTGCGCGCAAAATGAAGTTGGCTTTCATCAATCGGTGCAGAGTAAATGGTGCTAAAGATAAAAAATCAGCACGATCGATACACAGATGCGCGATCTCGCGTACGTATTTACCCGTTCGATCAGGCTGAAGAATTTAATGTGCCTTATCATATAAGGAAAGAATACGAGAGAGCGAGCTCTTAGAGAGCGACTCCCGATTCCTCGGCACGCGGTGAAATTATAGTATTTACGTGAATTAGATTTCGGTTTCGGTAATTTTCAGTTAATAACGACGAGGTGAATTGGCCGGCGAGTGAACGCTAAGTGCGGCCTCAGGCTCTATTAATGCTATTATAATGTAAAAGGCTACCTACACGTTCTTCTCTCTCTCTCTCTCTCTCTTCTAACTCCACGTCTCTTTTTCTTTCTCTCTCTCTCTGTCTCCTCTCTTTGCGCGTCGATGAACTCATAGTTGCACACATCGTGAGTATACGTGAACAAAAAGGAAAATCCGGCGAGGTTTAGGCCCGTTGTATATTATCGGCATTACGTCGAGGCTACCTGCATTATAAGCTCATTTCCGATAAATTGACTCGATTAAAAACTGCCGCTTAAGAACCGCGTAAACCACTTCGATCCTTCCCTCCTCTATCCCGCGCCCGTCTTTTCGACCCTCGCTTTCTATCGAACTGCCCGCTTCTAGAAATTTACTCGATCGGCTGCCGTTTTCTCTAAAGACTTCACATATGAGCGTATATCGAAGTACGTAAGAGCTATGTTTCACCGATATGCGCAGAACGTGACGACTCGCAGTCGTTGCAAATTAAATTTCTTGCAAGATTTAAAATGAGCTATGTAACTATCTAGACAAATAAAAAAGAAAGAAGTAATTCGAGAATAAATAAATACAATTTAAATATCATATACATATAAAAAGATATTTTTATGTTATTTAATTTTACGATTTTTAGAGAAATATATTATATTTTAACTGTCAAAGTTTGTATTTACGTGTTTCATAATAATTCTCTGTTTAATCAAGAGAATATACTGCAAAATTATTCTCTTAAAAATGTCCAATAATTTAATTTGAATTAATATTAATTATTCAATGACTGTCTAATCTTTTATCATAGCAATTATTAGTCTTTTCATTCATATATTAGCCAATAGTCACTTTGTAATCCGGCTTCGAAGCCACTGGTTCACGGATATTTATTGCCAACGATTCCGTTACAAGTTTACAAGCAATATCGAACGCCGTTACACGATGGCAAGATTGCGATCATGCCAAGGTGCGGGCTTGCAGAAATCATTAATTCTTACGAGGTGAAGTCGCGGTGAAAGGAATGATACCTCTGCCGCACGCGCGCGTCAACATTTACATCTAAAATTTATTTATTTTATTTTAACTCGCCTCTTTTTGATACATATATGTGATAATAAATCATACGTACATCCTTATATTTTCTATCTCGTTATATCGCCTTATGTATTTAAAATTGATATTCATTAGTTTTAGTATTATATTAAGTAGATATGTATCGTTACTACAGATAAATTAATTAACTCAGCTTTATAAAAATAAGGGAGAACCTGATTTATATGTCACTGACAAAAAAATTTCAATTTCGATGTATACGTATAAGATTATTTAAAATCATTAGGTATAGCTATAAATTTTTTTATTAATAATAGAGTTGTATCATTTCTATTTTAAAAGGGACTTTTATGCGTCCTTTTTCAATGCAATGACTTCATTTGACTTGTTTATGCTATCATGTAATGTTGTGATGGATGGCATTGATGCCGAGTGAATGACAATTTTTACATTTTTACCGCAAAAGCGTATCACGTCTCACGACTCTGTGCGTGATATTCTTTTTCTAATGATACAACGCGCGCGACGATTGATCACAGCAGGTTTGCAAAATGTAGTGGGAAGGCACGCGATTAAAAGGGTTGTGTTTGAAAATGAACAAGGGCTCGAGAGAAGCGACTGAATCGTTTTGTTCAATTTATAAATTGCACATTATGTGATCGTTTCTTTCATTTTTTTTTAAAGGGTAACTTGTACGTAACTTGCATCAGCATGATTTGTTTTAGTATTCACAAAGATGTTCTCGAGACAACATTTCGCATATTCACACATTTCGAATATAATATTTAAATTATCCCAACGTAATGCAATCTATTTTCTGTTTAGATTATTTTAATCTTTGCATTAGAATATTCTATTCTCATTGTTGAAAAAATCTTACGCAAGAAGTATTTTTATTTATCTATAAATGTATATTAATATATTTTTTAATGTATACGATATACCTCATTTTTAATTTCCTTAAAAAGTTTTCATTACGCAAAAAAATTTTTATCAGATTAGATTTAATTTCAATACGATTTACGAATTGAAACATAACGGATTAAAATTAACTAATATAATACTTTTATACCATACTTATAAAAAATAATACGAGTATAATACTTGTAAAAAATGTATTTTCTTGATGTAACAACAATTAACCGATAGTATTATGTTGATACGTCTTTCTTACATTGATTATGAAGATACTCGGCACGCCAGAAATCGTTTAAAGCTGGTTTTTATTTAGAGACGTAAAACTTCTTATACGGATTAACAGCCGTGTTAAAGGTTAACCTAATTGTACAGCGGTTACTTCGTAAATATTTCCACGAAGGCGGAAATTTGAAGCGCGGAAATTCCAAATTTCGAGATAGTTTATGGTCGGCGCATCGAGCAGACATCGTTTAAATCCATTCGGAGCGGAAACTAGACCGCAACGATTTCCCTGACCATTCGTGGAATCTGATCGTCGCTGATAATACGTGGTCGCCGCTTCACGTGACAACTGATGAATCGTTTCACACTACGTTCGCATTTCAGTCGCGAGCAGATGGTCTTAAAGAGAGCATAGAATTATCCCACTCATCCTAAGGTATCGATCGATTCAACAATAGTGTACATATATCCCGTCTCTCTATAAATTTTTACAGACTCTTAGGCCTGGTTTTTCATTATCTGATTAATTTGTGATTAAGTTTAATCTGATGACAATATAAAAATTGTATTTTTCTATCTATGGTTTATCACTAAACTGATACTCTTTTGTAACGAATAACTTTTAAAGTTATCATTACAAAATCACTATAGTTTCGTGATTAATCATAGCTAGAAAAACAAAACTTTTACATTATCAAGTTAAGTAAAGTTATGTTTACACTACAAGTTAACTAAGTAATGAAAAACCGAGCTTTAGATTATATTTTAAACAATTGTCGTGATAATTAGAGTATTATAACATTTATAATTATATATATACAAAGTCAGAGATTTAAAACATGTGTAAATGTGTGAACTAACATCTGTAATTTTCACAAAATCTGTAAGATTCTTCATATGTGCGAATTATAATTTTACAGACAGAACTTCAATAATATTAATTTTTACTTTTATTTCTGCAATCATTCAAAAGCATTTGACATTACCTATTTTACACGCATAGTCTATTGCACTATTTTTTATAAAATAAATGAATGTTGAATCGCAACGATTGTCACGGTAGATGCAAAAATTATAGATGCTAAAAGTTAAAATCTTAATATAATTTATAAAAAATTATAATCTGAATCATATTATCATTTGATAAATCTCATAAATAATAGCCTGAAATTTTATTCATGAAGTCAATTTAAATTTACCAAAATTATGATGCGAGCAGCTACAATACTCAAATTGTGATGTCTGTAATTATGTTACATTTGTGTTAATATAAATAACAAAATTATACCTATATTATTGTTAAATAATAACGTAATTATTTGTCTATGCAGATCATTCGTCGCGAGGAGGCAGCGAGCAGGCCGTCCCGCAGACGAGTCCTGCGAGCAGCACGAGCAACTCGAGCCAGGTGACTCAGGTGAGCCAGCAGGTGAGCCAGCAGTCTCACCCGCAGTCTCACCAGCAATCAGCGCCAGCGTCAACGACGACGACGACAACACCTCAGTCCACTCAAATGGGTATCTCTACCGAGGAGGTAAGGCCCGAGGAAGAGGGCACCCACCCGAGAGCGGCGCCGACCAGCCCCGAAAGCGAAGCGGAGGCGGACGACTTTGCGCCCAAGAGAAAGCAACGTCGCTACAGAACGACTTTTACCAGCTTTCAGTTGGAGGAGCTTGAAAAGGCCTTCTCCAGGACGCATTATCCGGACGTGTTTACGAGGTGAGTCGACTGACCATCAAGCAATGTTCTAATAATCTCGAGCTTTATCTCGACTCAAATGGCCTGAGTGAGTTCATTTAGATGGAATTTTATTTGGAACTTGATATGTGCAAAGATTACAGGCGTCGTGATTTTAGAAAATCAAAATTTCTCCTAAATTAAACGCATATAGATAACACTGCAGATATCAGTCTTATATATAAATATACGATTTTATACTAAAGTATTTAAAAATTTTGCTAGATACAGATCTGAAAATAATTGTTGGACATCAAAATAATGTTATGTTAACATTTAAGCATTAATGATAATGTTAAAAAGTTTTGACATTCTAGCAACCGTTTGAGCGTCCTACATAATTATTTTAACGGTCCAAACAAACTATTTTCAGATCTATATTTAACTATTTAGATACTTCAATAAAATCGTTCTTTCTTTGTATATAGTCAATTAAAACGCACCAAATAAATAGTGACACAGAATAACATAAAATAATTTTCTAAGTCAGAATAAAAAAATATTTTAAAACTTTTTTATTATATATGTTTAGTATCAAAAATATATAATATATATGCTCACTGTGGAATATGAAAAATAAGTAATATATGTATATGCTCACTGTGGATGGTAACTATCTAATCTAGCATTAAATTAGTAGTCACTTAAATCTAAAATTCTACTTAAAAGTGCTGAGCCTTCCGATTTCGAATTAGTTATTATTATTATTATTATTTTTATATTTAATAGTTTTTATTAGGATTATTTATACATATGTGAATGTCATTACTATACAAGAAATGCGCGAAATTAGAATACGTGAGGCTAATGAATTTGAAATTATACAATCATTCTGGTTATGTTTCACAAAAGCATTTGAATGAAGATCAATTATTACAAAGCTATTTAGAGTCGCAATTTTTCTTCAATTCTTTCGAAGACAACCCTGACGACTAAGAGCTTATGGTATATCTCGGTGATGGGATAGGAAGCTCGTGTACCTCCCGTGGATCCAGACGATAGACAAGGTGTCTAGTCGCATTTATCAGGCTTTAGGGTCCATGTTCAGAAGAGTAACAGGATTTAGATACAATATAGAGACCGACTATCGGCTGCCACTCAAATATTTTGTTGTCTGGCTCCTGTGCACTCTCCTGGCTATTACCGATAACGTCGCTACTTACCAAAATTCTTTTTCAAAAATGGTCGCCGCAAGATATTTACGATGGGTGCACAGGTAGTCCTTGAGCATGGTTATAAAAGAAATCTGGTTATCCTAAGTGTATATACTACCTGAGACAGTCTCGAAATAGTGATGACCGGGTGACGGCTGGAGACAACGAGTATACATAAGCATATCGTGTTTTAAAAAGGTATACTTAATGCGTGTTAACGCAGGACCTTAAATACACTAAAGTTTTAAATGGAAAATAATTTATTTAGGACTTTAGTGTTCAGGCTCCAGTTTAAGCTTCAGGAATAACTAACCTAATCTTCGATTGATAGCAGTCTGGAGAAAAAAAAAACCGATTACTTGTCGGATGTGATAATCGATAAGATTAATACATATCTATTACTACAATTATCATAATTTTTTAATCAGATTTTTGTGTCTCTAACAAATTTTATTTTGAGACTAAAGAATTTGGGAAATATCAAAAGAATATAAGATAATATTTATTTTACTTAATAATATGGAACGTTCATTAAAGTCTTATCTCTTTTAGTTTGCTAATGATTTTCTAGTTTTACACATTCAAAATAATTCTGACATAAAAATACATACTTTATAGTACGTACTTTAGAAAAAGAAAGACGAAATTAAAATCAACTCGAAAGTCTTGAAAACAAAACCTTTCGAAGCGCTTTTAAATGTAGTTTTGAATAATAATACCCGTTTCCTTCTTTAATCTGAATCCATGGTAGATTTTAAAATAAATCACCTATCCATCCATACAAGTCTGCTAAATCCGCGAGTGTAAATTCGTGGAACGATACATCGATCATCGGGCCTTCCCGCAGCCAGACTGACGATCCTCATGCAAATTCCCATCCGTAGACGCGAAACGACGGTTTTGCATTATTAAGTCCCCTGCACACTCGGGTCCAGTTACATACGTACAGTATATCGCGCCGCCATTGGGCTGCGGCGCAATCTATCTGGGTAGCTTTTTCTTTCTCCTTGTTCTTTTTTTACTGCCTTCCTCCGCGCCATGGAACACCCGGTAGGTAACTAATAGCGGTGTAATCGCTCGTAATAGGTCCGGTCCTGCGGCCACGGTATGGGTTCTCGTAATTAACGAAGATGGTAGGGAGTATGCAGAGAGAGGTGAAGCAGGTAGAGTGTCCGTGGTGTACGGTCAGGGCTGGAGATGTATTCGCGAGTATGGCGAGACAAGCTACACATTCACGTACGCGTGAAACTGCGACGAAGATAGCCTTAACGAGCAAAATACAAATCCCCTTCGTTTATCTAGCAAAATTAGAACCAAACCTCTTAGAAGAGGAGAACAAAACGATTCTGAACAAGTTTTTCCGTGTAATGAAAAAAAAATTTTTAGAAAAAAGCTAATTGAATATTTCTAATCTGTGATGAATAATATTGTGAAAAATACATTAAAAGATACTTAATCTTTGTATCTATGATATATATAAAAATTAGTGTTTCGATTTCTAGGAAATCAATTTCAATAATAGTATATGAAAAAGTTAATAAATAAGAAAAGCACAGGAAACTCTTAATTGGGTGGATTTGAAAGAGGCGAGAATTATTATTTTGTTGTTCGCGTTAAAATAGTGAAATGGACTTGCACGCATTTAAAAACAATAAAGTTTCGTAATTTAATAGCGTTGCGAATACTGACACCTGTCAGATTTTCAATCACCCAATGTATTATTTTCGTAATAAACATGTACTTCCTTATAAAGCCGACACCTATTTATTTATAGCCATAAAGGTTCCTTTTCTTCTTAAGAAAACAACCGGTAATTGGCTTGATTGGTTTCTAATAATTCGTCGCCCGTATTAATTTATTCCTTGTCCACTTATACGGGCTTCCTGCCTATGGAAAATTGCTCGACGTTTTCTGCTGTTTCGTAGGATAAATTGATCCCCCGTTTCTTCCGCTATTTCGCCGCGTGGTAGTATTAATTTCGCGCTAATTGGATTTTATGGTCGCTTAGGTTTATTGACTAGCTTGACGAGAAGGAGAGGCAGAGAGAAAGGAAGAGAGAAAGAGAAGAGAGTAAAGTCGTGGAACACGACGCATATTCATTAAGCGTGCCTTTACATATAAGGGCAGACGTGCGATTGGGACCTACCAAAATATATGTATATCGATGAAACCCTGAAGAAGATGCTAGTGCGGCCTTAACTTCCTGGACGTCGCGAATGAAAATTCATTCGCCAATAAAAGACACGTGTTCCCGCACGGCGGACCGTGTACATCGAATTGGATATCGATAAACATTTCTCTTATATTCATCGTTTATTTTTCGATCAGCCGATCGGTCCGAGAGTAGTCGAGCGAGCTCTCTTTTGGGTCCTTCGTGTTTAACTTTTGTAGACATTCTTTCCACTCATAAATGGAATGTTGTTTTTATATTTTCGTATTTTTACTTATTTATTTATAATTTCTTTTTACTATTTCATAAATAAAAATTCATCTTTTTTTGTGTAAATTAATCTCTTGTCTTTTAATTCTCTTTTTTTATTAATTATAATTTTTGTTTCTATTCGTATTTTTATTCGTTTACTTTCAATTTCTGTATTTCTCTATTTTTTCGTTATTACCGAAAGGGCTTCTTGAGACCAATTTTGTTCGCGATACTGACAAAGATTAGACGGAGATAGCCCCGAACAAGCTGTTGACGACAGGACAACTTTTTGTGGAATGCCGTTTCCGAATGCGATAACAGATAAGTACAGGCTTTTTGAGAGCCGCGAATGTAAGGCCCGAGTGGCATTTGCGAGGGAGCGCGCGGATTACCAGATTCGTCCTGTTTATATAGCACTTAAAGCCGGCTTACCACGTAGGCTAGCGAGAGAGCGTGGCCACTTGCCTTTACGGGCTCTTAAGATCTAATTTAGATTGGAGTGTTACGGCTCGGGCCCATACTGCTACCGATGACGGCGACGGACTAATCGTTCGACCGTGAGCGGTCCCGACCAATCCCGATCTGTCCGTGTTGGTTTTAATTTTTTATCCCGACTATAAACTCCAGGAGAGAGAACGAGAACATAAACAGAGAAAGAGAGAGAAACGAAGCGCGGTTGAAGTGATGAAACCTTGTTGTCTTTTCAAATATCCGACTACTTATTTTCTTTCTGGTGAACAACATAGCTAATTAATAACCTCATAAATGTTAACACATATGGCGTGTTTAAACGCGATTACTTCCAACATGATATTCAATCAGTTTTCATACCAATGTCGATGCGATGGACAAAATTTAGTCAGCGCTTCGCCTTGTGCTATTCGATTTTTTTTAAACATCATGTTCTATTTATAATTATGATTAGAAATTGGTATGTTAAAGAAAAGCTAAGTTATTACAGTTTAATTATTTAAACCTATTTTTTGAATTGTCGAGGGATACCTTAGCTAATTATACAACAAAACTCTTTGATGATTTTCCATTTCTTAATTACTCCGACTAGCCGGACGCCATTTCGTCCCTCATTTGCTTCGAAAACCTGACTCGGCGGAATATCGCGCGCGGCCACCCCCGTCGTGCGAGTTCTCAATCTATCCGCCCGGTGGATCCATAAAATTTATCGTCCGTTCGCGTCGCGTTTCGAGGGATCCACCTGTTCAAAGGGCCGCGCGACGCGCTTCTCGGTAAATCATTCCGAAGGATGCCTTTATATCCGCGGGGTGGGCCGGTGGTGAGTTTAATAAGGATGATTGTTTCCAGTGATCCATAGAACGGAACCAGTTCCACGGAGCGGTCTCTTCTTCTGTTCTCCTCTCCCCCTTCTTCTTTCCACCGCGATTCTAGTC